TAAAACCCTGGGTTCCTTTAAATCAGAGCTAGATAAGATTTTAACAACTCTGAGCTATTAGTTAAGTTCTCCCCAAACGAGCTTGATGGGCCGAATGGCTTCCTCTCGTTTGTAAATTTCTCATGTTCTTATTTTCAGCTTCCAGTCAGTTGCCATACCATACGTTCTGTACTTATAGGGACTAGACTTTCAAGAGCACATTGGAAGATTAAATGCTATAAACTGAAATATATATATATTTTTCTGAAGAATTACCCATGACAAGTTTATTTTATTATTTGTTTTTTTGCTCATTAACCATGGCATAAGCGTGATAAACCACTTCAACGTATGTGGTTAGTGGTTATACAAAAATTATTAAATTGAAAATAAAATATCCAACTTAGCACATTACACCAAATTGCAGTTGATTATTTTCATTAGAAAACACACCTCATTGTTTATTATGCCGTTTTTTTAGTCTTTCCATTAATATTTCACATACTGTACATACCTCATAGAACACAAAAACCATGCAGCTGAAAAACGTGACATAGTAAATGCCAACAGTAAATGTCGTGCTAGTACTTTGAATCCCAACTCATATTTGCATACAGAAATTTAAACAATCTTTGACATGTTCTTACAAAGTATGTGCAGCTTTGTCTCGACTGAAAGAACTTTTGTTGCGTCATTGGTGGCGTCACAGCGGTAGGTGGCCATGTTGTCACTGGGCTGAAGAACAAGAATCAGCTCGCGGGACACGCCCTTCTCTGACATCACTGGCTTCTCGGGGTCCCGGATGGCTTTACCATCCTGACAGATTGACAATGAGATTATTATGGTACCTCTATAAGATCTGGTGTAAGACTTCCAGCATTTGTAAACTAAGACTAGAGTTTATCCTCCTGAGACCCAAGGAAAAAAGTGTCCTTCAGTTTTAGGTTAATTGTGATTTTCTATGTCTTTGGAGGAAATAAGACATCTTTTTCAAATTTATTTTTATTTTTAATTTCACAGCATGTCCTCTTTAGTATACAAAAGGAATAAATTTGTTTCCTTACATTAGTGAAAAGATATATGCAAAAACAAAATGTCCACTGCAATGGACATAAATGAATGGCTGGGGTCTCAGGAGGTTATTCAAATAAATCAGAAATAGCATTCCAAACTAAAGGTAGCATAATCCATGCAAATTTTTACCAGTGCTAAGTCTCTTTCAAAATGCAATCCAAACACTCAAGCATGAATGTTGAAATAAATTCACAGATGCAAAATCCTCAATTCACAACAGGCAGTTTGGCAATGTTCAATGTTTACTCTCGAACCTTGAGCCAAGTCAAGCGGCCAGGGGGGTTTCCACCAGTGGAAAAACACATGAATCTGACTGTAGTCCTTGAGTGCAGAGGGACTCCATCAGGAGGACCTTCAATCCAAACCTTCTGAGGAGGGTCTGAGAGATACATAGCAAAGACTCAGAGCAAAAGGTCACCAACACAGACAAAATGGAACATGAAAGAGGATGTAAAAAGATAAAAAGAGAATTAGGGACTAGGGGTGGTGGAGAGGGAAGTGAAAGGAAAATTTTAAGAACTAAAGCAGGAACTAAAAAACAGAAAACAGGTATAAAATGAGATTAACAGAGACAAATGCAAAAAACTTATAATACACATCTGAATATTGAACAGTTCAACTGGAAAATTCTGTTGAGCTATGATTATTGGCTATAGGATGTGCCTACAGATTTCTGTTATTCATAGCTAAGCATTGAATAAACACGAATTTAAGAAAATGTGTAAATTTCAGATCACAAAGATGAGAATACACATGTGGAATTACTTCCATTGTTTTGTATGTATAATAAATCCATCTGCCCATCTACTGTAACTGCTTATCCAATTCAGCATCAGTGTGAGCCTGGACCTCCTCTCAGGAAGCACAGGGTTCCATGTAGGAGCTATCGACTCTTCTCAATGTAACATATTTGACTTTTATAATGTGATGAATCATAGTTTCCCATTTATCATGGACTGCTGGTACATTCATTGCATGCACTTGTTTGCCTATGGGAAGATGAGAGTCCCAGGCTTACAGAACACTTGCAGGGGGGTGGAAAGTATTTTGGAGTAGCGGGTCCCTCTGTTGAAGGCTTCACAGGTAAGCGGCAGCCCGTTTTCCTCTTGGGAGACCGTGTGGGTCAGGTTGGACATGGTCACCATGCCCCCATTACTTCCCTTGAATTGGGACACCAGGTAAGGAAGCTTTAGGCCTGACTACTGGGTTAGCATGTTACCTAAACACAGCACCACCTACTGGTGTGGAAAAGCACCTGCCACAGTAATCGAACAAATAAAGCTTTATGGAAGATATCTATATCTTTTTAAACTGTAATCATCTTATTTTTAGAGTACATTAAGGTGTGGGACACAGAATGTTGCCTCATATCTCAGAGACTGACATTGTGTTGTTCTATGAAAGTATTTGCAGGTATTCTAAAATAACTTTCCTTTTTGTGTAAAAATAAATGACATACAGTTAAATTGTTTGTGCAAATTAGTTTACATCATGGGCACTAAAAGATATATATATTTTTATTTTATTTTATTTTTTTACCACACCCCACTCCCTGTCCCTCTATGGACTGTACATGCAGCTATCTGAGTAGAAAGAGTGTTTTGATCTTGTTAAGGATCGTTGTATAGTGTAGACAAAAACAGCTCACCTCAGTGTACGTGACCACAGTCTGATTGAGCTCGCGAAAGCCCAGCCACCAGCGGATATTAACTGCCGGGTTACTGGACGTTGTGTAGCAGGACAAGGTCACTGTTTTGCCAGCTATTGCCTTGGAAGATCCCAGTACCTTCACCTCTGCTGGCTCAACTGTGAGCAGAAGGAGAGGAGAAGCCAAAGTGTGCGGTTAGAGTGCCTTAGAGGTAAAGACATGCACATTGGGTAACTTAGTGTTCCCCAAACACACTATATCACAATGGCACAAGCAGAGTATCTGTTGTACACAAAACCAAATTCAGATGCTCCTCCACTTACGAACTTTCGACTTACGAACTTTCAGACATACAAACGAAGATGACTGTAAGTCCAAATTATGTTCATTGAGCTCTCGTTTATTGTCCGCAACATCAATTTTTTTTTTCTGTGTGCCAATTCCACTTAGTACAACTTCTGGCCGATACTCCCGCCACGCAGCATCCTAGTTATTTGTACTTGCATATACCTTTAAAACGACTTACGAACATTTCAAATTACGAACGGCCGTTTGGAACGTATCTCATTCGTAAGTGGAGGAGCGTCTGTACACACACACACACACATATATATATATATATATATACACACACACAGTGGTACCTCGGTTCTCGAACTTACTAGAACTCGAATTTCTTGAAAGTCGAACAAACCAGTTTGACCTAGAACTCGGTCTGAATATCAGAAGTCGAACTGTGAATGCTGACCTAATATAAATTGTACGCGCAAGGAAATAAGTCATACTACAATGCAATTCTTACTTGAATGCCTTCTTCACAGACTGGGCGATTAACCGAATAAAGCAGCGCAACATTACAGTAACTAACAATAAATAAACCACTAACTTACGTGTACTATTAGAGCATTTATGTCATTTATTTAAACTTTATTTTACCAGGTAAATTAACTGAAAACCAGTTCTCACTGCTTTACGTGATATTCGGGAGAAATAGCAGATTACGCATTGGAAATGCCTGGGATACAAAGTAAACTCTTCAGCCAATAAGGGCAAAGGTGTGTCGTCACGGAGGCAGTTCCAGTTTGTGCAGCCGGGTGAGAGGTCGCAATGCCTCGAACCGTAATGCATTGCGTCAGGATCAGAATGCGTTGCTTTAAGTCAGCGCTGTAAGCAAGTCGAACACACCCAATGACCGGACTGGGCAAACTGAAACGCGGACTTAATACAGAGGACTAATGACAACAACCAGAAACATCACACGGGGATTCCACACGAGGTTAACGAGGGGGCGTGGCACACGGAAAGAACAGACGATCGGGGCAGGACAGGGGTAATGTTGGGATAAGATCTTTATCGTTTTGGAAGCCATTAAGAAAAAAATGCTCTTCTTGTTTTATCCTGTTCATTTTGTGTTTAAATGCTAAAAAAAAAAAAAAAAAAAAACATATTTAGGTGTAATTTTGGGGGACCGGGAACCAATTAATTGGTTTTCCATTGTTTCTTATGGGAAAAATTCGATCAAAACTCAAACTTTTTAGTTTGAGAACCGAGGTACCACTCTGTGTGTGTGTGTGTGTGTGTGTGTGTGTGCGTGTGTGTGTGTGTGTGTGTGTGTGTGAATATATATATATATATAGACATATGTGTAGACCCTAGGAAAAAAGTGGCCATGCAATGCATTAACCATGCAACCATGTATGGTTCCAATAGGAGAAGGTAGGCAGTGGACTCACACAGGACAATAAGTCTGCGGAGCAGCACAAAAGGCTGTGGGGACACCTGGTTGACACTCTCACAGCTGAGCTCGGCGTGGTTATCCTCCGGTTTCACCTGCAGCGTTAGGATGCTGCTAGCCTTGCGAGAGAACGTGTCGACTTCCCAGCTGGTGGATAATACTTCCCCATTCTGGGTGGGGATGATTGAGGGTCAGTATTGGGAGGAACACAAAGCCAGAGAGAAAGAGTGAGGAGCAAAGTTCACGACTGTAACTTCAGACAAAACTGCAAATCTCATCTCAGTTCATTTAATCTGACCCGTAAGTGGTAGTGCATTTAGAAAGAAAGACGCTATCCCAAAAAACACTGCTAGTTACACTGTGGCCAGTTTGGATAGGTCTTGGATAGGTTTTGGATAGGTCTTGGATAGGTTTTGGATATATTTGGCACAAGTCATGTGAATAAAATATAGATTTTCCTCCAGATGTGTGGTGATGTTGTGTGACAAAATGTTTCTTATGACCCATAAGTGGTAATGCATTTAGAAAGAAAGATGCTATCCCAAAAAACACTGCTTGTTACACTGTGGCCATTTTGGATTGGTTTCAGATGATTGGTTTGGATATGAAAGGCTCCCAGTCGCACCATTTGTTCTTTCCTCTGTAAAACCTGTTCGGCTACATCAAATGACATGAAATTGGGCACACATGTAGAAAACAAGTTAGGGAACCACATATTGAAAATTGGACTTAATCCATCATGTACTTCTTTAAAATATTTGCAAAAATCCAAGACACAAAGACAGATTTTTGTATTTTTCCAGCTGTTTTTGTTATATTCGAATCTCCATAAATTATACACAGTTATTCATTTTGGTTATTGAGCTTCCAATAATCGATTGTAAAGGGGTCAGCTTTGATTTTAGGTATCAGGCATGTGTCTGTGACTTTTACATCTGAAGTTATAAGGTAATTATTCCAAAGAGGGAAGGAATGCCCCCTGCAATGGGTCACTCCAAAGAGTTAATAACCTATGCCTTTCTGAATCTTGATATACTGAACTAATCTCCAGAGGTAACTAAATGTCTTCAAAATCCTAATCCTGCTCAAATACTATCATTGTTATTGAAACATTACCAGCAGCCTAACGCCTGTGAACCATGAAAGAGATGCTTCACCGCATGACAATTCATGCCCTCAGACAATTCGACAAGTCATGGCACGCTCCTTCTTGCTGACCTTCGTCCAGTGCAGCATGGCTAGTGGGTTTCCTCCATGGGAAATGCACACCAGTTTAAGACTGGTCCCAGCTGGCACTGTTTCTGTGTCCAGTCCCTCTAACACTGGAGGCTGAGGGGGGACTGAGAGGCAGATGAAAATTACAGGAAAAACAGAATGAAAAACCAACATGAATAGTCCTGAACATAACTTAATATGTCAGGATGCCATCACTAAATTGCATACATTTAATATGACTCTTGGCAAGCTTTTAATTGAAACACCAAGAGACTCGCCCCCTGCCTGAAGCCCCATATGAACAAATGACAAATATCTGAAGAATAATGCAAGACAAATCCCAGCCAATGAATAAAATATGTACAATAAAACACTTTACAGTGTGGTGGCTATTTTATTGCTGCAATCAGTCAAGGAGGCATCACAATACTGAGGCCAGTGTAACAGACTAGAAAGGCATCAGATGTTATACTCAGCATGCCAGATTAAGAGGATTGCTAAGTGCCCCAGTCCTGCTCTAGGCATGCAAGAAGAGGTGGAGTGAGAGAAAATCCTTACAGTATACATTCATGATGATGGAGGTCTCCAGGGAATGTGATAAGACGGGATGCTTCACTCGACACACCACCTGCCGTCCGTTGTCTGAGCTCTGGGCAACAAACCTGGAAGCAGGATCCTTAGTCAAACCAGCCTCATTTAATAGCCTTAAAGAGCCTTGCCACAGGTCATCTCCATTGCTCACAACATTTCACTATAAAGTTGATAAAGGCTAGATATTTTACCATGAGGATATTTTGCTATCCCTCATGGTGAAAGGTTATATCCTAAGCAGGGCCAGCCTGCTCAATCGGTGACAGGGGCAATCGCTTAGGGGTGCCATGTGATTAAAGGGAGCAAAAGAGTGAGTGAAAAAAATCAGAAAAATTGCCGGTAGTTACATTCCATGACATTGCGGTTATTTACACTAGTTTTAATTTTTCACTGCTTTTCTTGTGAAACAGATGCTAGCTAGCTAGCTAGGAGCTAGATACCCTGTGCTACTGAAATATTTTAAATATAAATTAGCAGAATCTCGCCTAGGGCGCCAGAACACCCAGGGCCGGCCCTGTTCCCAAGCATATATCAATAAAGGTCTGATAAGAAAGTACATCTTAGATTTGGTTATTATATCACTATCCACCCTTCTTCCATAACCAATTAAATGCAGAGTCATGGTGAGTGTAGGGCCTATCCCAGCAAGGTCAGAGCACTGGGTGTGGGACTTCCTGGATGCCCATCCATCACAGGGCACACAGTTACACACACCACAACACTATGAACAAGTGAGACTGGGGCAGGAAAACCACAGCGGTATGATTCAAACCCCAATAAGAACATAAGAAATTTACAAACGAGAGGAAGCCATTCGGCCCATCAAGCTTGTTTGGGGAGAACTTAACTAATAGCTCAGAGTTGTTAAAATCTTATCTAGCTCTGATTTAAAGGAACCCA